AAGTGATTTTCCTGCCTCTATACATGGTGACAGAAGAGCAGAGACAGTCACTGTGAATGTTTCCCCACTGCTGTTGCGGCTGCAGCATCTTGTAAGAGATGTTTTAAAGGCAAAAGGGCAGATGTCAATCTTTGATCTTTCTGTTGAGAAGGTGATCTATTAAAGATTTAGCTAGCTGGGTACCTACTCCCTCGACAGGCTGCCAAACTCATTGCTTAAGGTAACAAACTCCTATTTGCCAGATCAATGCTGACCCTATGTCAAAAACTTGGTCTCCTTTTGTCAAATGTGCAAGTCATCCAAAAAATACTTTATTAACGGGGAAAGGTAACGGTAGGAGGTAAGCACTGGAATCACAGTGGTGGCTATGTGAAGAAACTGAAACAAAGAAGTCTGAGATTTTTGTCTGAAAAGAAGTGCATATTTTTACATTTCAGTGCAGTTTGATAAATCCTCTTAATCAGACAAAAATCTTATTTTGAGACAGATTCTAACTTTATCATTTTTGCTGATTTGTGGGGAGGCAAAGAGTTGAAGGGGTAGATGAAGGGAAAGTCCTTGGAACAACCAATCCTCCTTGCTGTAGCCTGTATGGCACTGGGGATGCTCCTGGAGGAAATTAGGTTTTTAAGCATGGGAAAAAGGACTATTGACTTCGCCTTTTCCTTTAGAGAGCCTGCCTCAGCACACTTTTTCTCTGAGATTGGACAGATGAGCCTGTTTGTTTTGTATTAGCCGGAGCTTCAGGCTAGCCTTGAGTCCTTATTCACCCTTGCTGCTATTTGGGAACATGAAGGAGGTCATCAGCAAACTACCCAAGTCTTCCTCTCCCTATGCAGCCCAGCAAAAGAAGACAGACAACGCAGGCAAACAATAATGCCAGCTGAATTGCCCAATATGTCTATTTAATTAGCACTTAGAAGAGTCACAAATGTTTTCTCCTTGTTTGAAGGAGAGAAAAGAAGAACATGTCCCTGGCCTTGCAGAGGGCAAGAGGGGGTTTATAGATCGTTTCAACTTAACAGTCATGGGGAAAGTATTACAACATATATCCAAATTGAAAAGAGAAAAAAAAGCTCCAGATTTTTTTCTGGGTTTTTTTGGTACATCACTGGGACGTGGGGTTTGCTTTAGCAGCATTTAATCCCTCTGGACAAATGAAAGAGGTGTAAGACACTGATTTTCTATATACTCACAATTCTCCCACCACTGCAGAATTGGTGTGTGTGTCTCAGAAAATATTTCTCCATAAAAACCACACATGAAAAATAAAACCATAGAATCATAGAATAGTTTGGGTTGGAAGGGACCTCTAAAGTCATCTAGTCCAAACCCCCTGCAATGAGCAGGGACATCTTCAACTAGATCAGGTTTCTCAGAGCCCCATTCAGCCCTTCCATGAATGTTTCCAGGGATGGGGTATCTATCGCCTCTCTGGGCAACCCATTTCAGTGTTTTGCCATCCTCATTATAGAAAAAAAATCTTTTGCCATAGTAATTTTCAGAGGTAATTTGGAAAATGTGCACAAACACAAATTACTCTAACAAGTATTGATGCTATTGAACTTCCTGTCCTGAGAAAATGGAATTTTCTTGCCCCCTCCCTCCCCAAAGCATCAGTTCTGCAGTGTTCCTTTTATTTTTGTTGCTGTTATCTTTTGTGACAGTCAGCCATAAAATCAAATGTGTTCCCTCAAAACAACTCTCATCTTTGTTTTTTAAAACCAGTGTTCTTTTTCTTTTCCACATTAATCGGAAAATATTCCAGTAAAGACAATAAAAAGACCATGCCCTGCCTTGTATTTCATGTACATGAGAAACAAAAGTCAAAGATGTTCACTAGACATTTCTAACGCACACATCTGACTTGTTTATGAAAATGCTTAGCCTCTTCCATAAAGAAGAAAAATTCCAGTGAGTCTGAGGATTAAAAAAAGAATGTAATGATCTTCTGTGTAAAGTAAAGCCTCTGGTTTCTCAGACTCAATCAGTGTAAAATATTTTGCAAGGCTCTCTTTTCAGGCCAACTTAATTAAATAAAGTGGTACTAGAACACCCTGTCACTATTACAGTTCCCATCCTTTCCAACCAGAAGGCAACTCCCACAGAGTCCCTGTGCATGTTCTTTACAGCAATGGTTTACCTACTGATTAAAAATATCCCACAGTGCAAAGTGCATATAGCTATTGCTCTTATTCTATACCTTCTCTCTGTTAGAAAGAAAAAAATACATAGGAAAATTATATAAATATTTATTTTCCCCTCTTAAAAGTTAACCATCTTAATATATTTAACATTTCTATACAGCAGCTCTCTTCAATGAGAGCTTGGCTGCACTCTCATTCCATCTCTTGTGCCATTGCTATTGCTGTGCTGTTTTCTCTGGCCTTATCAATGACAGAAACAAATTTGCCTTATAAGAAGAGTTAATCATCTCTACATAGATTTCATTCCTGGGCACAGGCTCAAAGTCCATGAACACATAATCTTTTGCAAATCAAAACCTATTTCTCTCTTTCATGCATCATTTACAACCCCAAGATGATGTACTGCTAGCATCACACCTGTATTTTAGTTCGCTTTCTTCCTGATTACCCGTCCTTTAGAAAAGAAAGCAAAAGTGACCTTTACTTTTTTCCTCTCATATTTTATTGTCTGTTTGCCTTCTTTTCCCTTGCTTTGCTTGTCTATGCAAAGAACTGAAAGAAAAAGCCTGGTTCAAAAACAGCAGCAGAATACCTCCTCAGCATGTTCCTCTTCTTCATAAGGAGGCAGAAGAGACCATAGGAACAGTAAAATACTAGAAAAAAACAAAGCACCTAGTTTTCAGTTGCTGGGATCACACAACAGACCCAGCAGAAATACTGTGTAACTGAGATCCCTTTCAGCCCCAGGTTACCCATATAAAGGCTAGACCTAACCTGGTTTGTGGACAATTTCTCCTGCCTCTCACAAGCCTGAAGGCAGCAGCAGCAGCAGCAGTGTAGGCTTGGACTGCCATCCTTACGTCACCCTTTGAGCAGCTCAGTCATTACTGCTGTGCCCTAGGTTACAACTGCACTAGCTAGTCAAAAATAGCAAAAGAAACCAAAATAGTCTCAAAAGTGATAGAGTCAAAGAGCTTTGCAATACAAGCTGCCAAGCCAATACCTTCCTTCTTTGGGCACCAGAATGAATTCTCACAGTCACTGTCTCCTGCAATTTTTTCTCTGGCTTCCTCTGCAGCGAATATATTTTCCTGAGCTTCCATTGCTTTGAAGAAGATAGTATTTTACAGCTACCATAAATAAATTACCCATTTCTATAACAATTATGTGCCATGAGCCCTAGATTCTGAGTCTGCTTACAGAAAGGTGCACAAACACTGCAGTTGTGACATGCATTAACCAATATTCTGGCAACAACCAGGCTGACTGACAAATTTGGGTTTTGATGACAGTTTCATTTTAACGAGCTATTACTGGGACTAGGTTTGTGGCTCTTGTGCTAATAATCTGATGTGCACAGCTTTGACACCCTCTTCCCCTCACCCAACTCCAGTAGATTATCTTAATCTTTAATTGGATATGGTTTTCATTTGCATGTAATTGCTGCTGTTTGTTATGCAAAGCATTTGTTCTCTAATATATTCTGATGCATCTTGAATTTTCAAGACTGGCCTTCTACAACTTGTAGAATGCAATTTGCTTTACGGCATCACAAAGTTCTCCCACAATGAGATTTTTGAGAAAAAAGAATGAATTTTTCATCTCTAGTGAAACATTTTCCTGTTTCTAAATGGTGATGTTAATAAAAGCTTAAAAAATTAACCCAGTCGTAGATGTCCTCCTGTTTGTCCTTTTTCATTCCCTTGGCCTCCCCTGAAGACATATTAAGGAACACAATTTTTTTTGTTTGGTTTCTTTTAGTTTTTATGCTACAGTCAACTTGTGGAAAAGCCAATTCTTAATAGCAAACAAACAGGCCCAAAGTTTAATACAGACTTTTTTCTGCAGCCTTTCTTCCTACACCCACCTTCTCTTTTTCAAGTGGGAGCATCAAGAAAAGCTTATGCTTTTGATCTCTGTGCAAATAAATGAGCTAAAACAAATAAAACCTGGTTCACAAGAGACTTCCAAAACATCTGGTGGAGTTATTTTTCAAAGTAATTAGACCAAGTGGTGGTGTAATTCCCAAATGAAAGGTACCTTCTTGCTTGGTATCCAGTTATTTCTCAGAGCCATCAAAACAGCAGTAAGTCCTGCTTCTCTCCTTGTATGTGTCTCAAACTCTATTGATTACCAGTCTTACCAAACACTGGTTTATTACCCAAATTTTTAAAACTTTTTTTTGTTTTGATACTATGAGGATCCTGTTTTACTTCCATGAATGTCAGTGGGATTTCTGGTATTAACTGAGGAAGGATGCTAACCTACTGTAACTCTCCTTCATACAGGCTCTATGGAGCAGGCAGGAAAGTGTAATGAATAACAGCCAGGTGCTTGCTCTGGATCAATACACTGCTCTAAAGTGTGCCCAGGTGTGCCTTCTCCTTCTTTCTAGCTGGAAGCTGATTAAATTTCTCCTTTTTTTCTTCGTATCTCCCCAGGAAAACATCATTCTAGAAACAACCCAATTGCTCTTTGACACTTTGGGAAGAATGTGGTCTGTGACAACAACACAGTGCAACCACTGTGCATTTGTGACACTGGGGAAGTGAGTAGGGAGTAGAGCTGTCTAAGAAACCAATTCCATTTTTTTTGTGCATGGTTTGCCTGGTTTATTTGGTTTCAAACTTAGTCAGGGTGCTCTACAACTGACTGCAACTCACTAACTGACCTGCATGCAGACACCACCTCTGTGCTATGAGAGTAATGTTCTGTAATGCCAGATACAGAATTCACAGCTGTATCAGGAGTAAAGAAAAGTAGCTGCCATATGAAACAGCTGGTAGATTACAAAGTGGGCTTGATATTAATGCTTTTTAATTCTCATTCCTTCAAGACATAACACAAACTCACCAGAGGTTTCATCTACTCTCTCATCCACCACATGGTCCTTCTGATGAACCCACTCGCTGTTGCACTTAAAATAGATCTGTGTTGCTGGACTTGCTTTGCAGTACAGATTCACTGGCTTGTTCTTCACAATGTAAGCCTCCTCGGGTTCGATGAGGAAGTGGGGCAATGGCTCTGGAGGGTCAGACGGAAAAGTTTCCGGAAGTTCATGAAAAAAATCATCATCTGTAGAGAAGGGACAAATAGGACAAATGAAACAACCAAAATTCAGCTGCCAAACACTTGCAAACCCTTCCTGAAAATTTCAGAAGGCGCATCATTTTTGAATAAAATGTTGTCTTTGGAGCACTCCTAGACCAAGGCTTAAAATGCACTGCTGTTTTTATACAAGAAGAAATTGTTCTTTACATCCTGAGCTTTCTTTCCTCTATGTGATTTGATAGGGATGTGCACATTCACACGTCTGGGATTGGTCCTTTGTTATCAGCAGCAGCAATACTAGCAATAAAGCATTATGTTAGCGCTTGGGAGAGTTGCCTGCAAAACCGTAAAAAGAAATAATAGAAACTTTTGGAGGCTTCAAGGTCAGACTTTTCAATAGTGACTTATCGCAATGCTTAATCAGGTGCGGGCAACAGCCAGTGCCAGCTGAGGCTGGTACAAATAGGAAATAGCACCTTTCGTTTCAGATGAGCAATTTGAAATCTCCTCTAAGGGCAAAAGACTAAATGCAAGTCCAGTCTGCACCTCTTTGTTCATACTCTGACTCTCCTGCTAAGACTGCTAATGAAGGTGCCAAGCTATGCTTTACGTACTTTGTCTGTAGGACATTTGTCTGTGCAGTCCTTGCAACAGAGAGGACTTGTGAGCTGGGACATGAGGCAGGGCAGCTGTGAAACAGTGACATTTTGGGCCAAAATGGACACAAGCTATTGGTGCAAGGAACATCTGCACTCCCTGCTGCTGATGGTAATGAATAAAGTCAATGTAAGCAGTCCGGAGAAGGACGAAAAGAATCTCTTGCACAGGAGGCAACACTGAAAACACCTAACATGCATACCTTCCTTTCTCTCTCCCTACTTCTTCACAAATCCTCCTTTACAACCCCTCTGCCCCTTCCTGCAGAAAAAGTCCTCCACATCAGAAAGCACCAAATTCAATGGAGAATAACTCTCTTCCCATCCACCTCCCCACCTGCCGTCACAGCACAGGAATATGCAAGAGGCTTTACAGAAGCAAAGAGGTGGGGGAACACCAACTACTGACGGATGCTTCACCAGCAAGCTGACAGTCCTGAAGGCCTTATTCAGTCTCCCCTTTCTGCCTCTGAAGCAGTTATCATTATACACAGTGACGGACGCTGATACTGATCAATAAAACACCGCAGAACATCAAACTAAAAATACTGCAGAAGGCTGGCTATCTTCTCCCTGCCAGTCTCCAGGAAGATGAAATGTCTGACAGCTACTTCCCCGAACCTGAGACATGGCTCTGCAGGCTGTGTCCAGAATTACAAGGGGCATGACTCTCCTTCCAGACCGCGCTTTTCAGAAAGACAAAAAAGAACAGGAACAGATGAAGGAGAGAGGGGAAGAAGGTAATATGATACATATCCATGCACCTATATGAAGGTAGACTGCACGTCTTTATCGGTGAGGGAAATACCTTACACAGCAAACGATTTTGTGAACCTCCTGAACTATTTATGAAGACAACATATGTTCACCATTTTTTTTCATTTTTTCCCCCTTCATATTAATTTAAAAATACTCCTGTCCTTCTGGGTGTCTCATTTTAAAAGGAATATCAGGCCTGACTCACTACTGCATCACTCCCTGAGAGTTAATAGAAGTGAATGGGTTCAGAGATAGAAGAAAGGGTCAATAAATAAAATCTGACAATTTTCTAGCAAAGGGAAAATATGTGAAACACTATAACAATTCCATTTCCATCTCCGATTAATCATTTCCAGATACTCAAATTAAATTTAATTTTTTATCACTTTCCCATTCTTCTTTTTTTTCCCTGTAGTTTCTTTTTCACTCTGACCACACCAGCCTCCTTCTTCTGCAATCACATTTCCTCTCCTCATTAGGTATTTCTTTCCTGCTCCATTTTGCTCCCCATCTTTTTCCAAAGAGAAAATGAGTTACAGTAAGTTATTGGGAGTCCTCATTTGGTTTCATGACAATGAAACATGTCTGAACTGAATCAAGAGGCTTTTCAGCATTCCTCATATCCCCTTCTATGCATATCTCCCCCTCTTCCTCTGTCTCCCTCTCACACACACTGCTCCATAGACATCCACAACGCAGAAACATTAGAGATGAATCATTTCCCCTGAATTGCCACAGGATGTATCTTTTTCTTCTGGTCATTTAATTGCAAATCAGCGAGCAGACAGATGGAAACTAACAAAGCACACATATGTTTTATAATTAAACAAGTATCGCTTCACTAATTTCTGGTGACTGGAAGAACAAATGTATTTATTTTCACCACTAAATTTCTGCACATTATCAAAGGCAATACTTACACTGCCTGACCAATTAACTGCAACTTATCAAAGATAACTAGAAAGTCTAAAAGGAGGGATCAGCTAGCTGCAACAAAAGAAAAAAGGTGTTTTAAAAAATTATTTCTTTAATCAGCCTGAAAAATGTGTGTGTGGGCTTTGGCTTGTCCTCCTGAAGGTAAATGCTTCTAAAGTTTAAATATTATTTGTATGTTAAAGTGGATTCACAGTACTGCCCAGTACATGACAATCTAGTCCTACATTTTGATTGTGGTGATAGCTGCTTCTCTCCACCAGCCTGGAATCCTTCAGTCAGGTACAAGCCTGTTTTCTTATTGTCTTCTTGCTCTGATTCCTCCTTACTCTTCTTAAACAATAATAAAACTCAGCTTTATTTTTCCACACTCTTTCTCACTGCTATCAAGAGGCATCTGAACTGCTCTTAAATGTTAGGGATATAGATGGAAACCATTCACAAACTGTCACACAAATAGTGTGCAAAGGCTGCCAAGTCCCTGGAAACAGGAATTTAAAACTGTCACTTTCAGAAAAAATGTAAGATAATAGCTAAGAAAATTTTTTTTTTTGCTTTTTAAACTGGAGTATGTTTATTTAATCCCTGTCCTGTTACTGTTGCTATTAGGAGTAACAATGGTGTTCTTTTTTTATAGAGCAGCTTCTTAATAGGAGTATATAGAATACAACCATGACTAGGTTTGGCAGAAAAAAATCCCACTCCCACTGCAAAGCTAGTCCTACCTCCATTAGCACTGAGGGACTCTTGTTCCTGTTTTTCACTGTGGAAAGGTAACTGAGGGCTTAATCAGCCTGTGAATCACAGGGGGAAGTCACTTGGTGTTCCCTGCCTCCCCTGAAGAGATGAGGTCGGCTGCTGACGGGCGGCAAAGCACCCCTCTTCTCCCACCCAGGCACACCATTCACCAGCAGCTGAAGTGGCAAGATGGTGGTTTACAGGTAGAGAGGGTGTGCAGCCCCACTTTCCCTGTGCCAGGCTGCGGTATTTGCCTCTCAGGATGAGGATCTTTTGAAGAGGAAGAACGTTAAAGCCCCTCATAATGGCTTGCACATCACACCAGGCACATCTTAGGACAGTCAGCCAATTCAGCTGCTGATTTGGGACAGGGTTTTGAATCATCAACCTTAACACATGTTTTGAATCCAAGTCTTGCATTTAATTTTTTTAATTACAGTAATATGCTGTTTTGATTTCATTGTAATGCCCACAGCAATATGCAAAAATTATAATGGCAGTGTAACTATGTGCCAAAATATGTGTTGGGTTCCTAAGAACCCAACACAGAAAACGTGAATAAAGGATATTTGATCATGTTGAGATTTTTTTGCAGAATGAGCTTCTGGTTACACCAAAGCAACCTAAAAAAATCTGTGTTTTTACAAGGACACAGTTTCTAACAACGTAAAAAATACTTCCATCGAAGTTTCTCCTGACCAGCTACAGTCAAACACAGGTCATTCCTCTCTCCATACAAAAACTAAACTCTGCCTTAGCTTCTTCAGGGATGATTTTGTTATAATGGTGTGGCCTGCTGGACCTGTTTCTATAATTTGGATGGGAGTTGCCTCTCATTGTGTGCTCCACTGCTATATGAGGTGATAAATCTTGCCTCAGACTTTGATCTGCATCTTCCTGATGGCTAGTGCTGGTTATTTAAAATGTTCATCTCCCAATGGTGCAACAAAGCAGCAAACTTTATAATTCTCTTATTTAACTCTCCTAAGTAGTTAGAAATTTTTTTCTTCTGTCGGGAGGAAAAAAGCTAATTAAACCATTTGGGAGAGATCTGGGCATGTAGATACAAAAAACCACTAAAAATTCACATACTTGATTTCCAATCATTATGTCAATGTCATGTGCAGCAAGTTCCCCTTACAACCTTGATCAAACACAAATACAAGGCACACATTGTTCTCCCCTGTTGTAACAAATCCCCTTCTGTGCTCAGCAACTTTGAGCTGCAAGTTTACTTCTGCAGTATGTCACATTCATCTTTATTTCCACATAATAAAGTGTACAGCCCATCTGTTGTTATTGACTGATTTATATTAGCAAGACAAAAGACCTGATTAATGGTACTGCTAAACTGGTTTCAGTCATGCAATTCATTCATATTAAGAAAATAAATTTTTAAAAGCCACTTTACTCTATAAACTTCATTTGGAATTTTTATTTTATTTGCCAGCCCAAAAACAGATATGCTTTTTTATTTGCCTTCTGTAGTATCTGACAACTATATTCTTAAAAAAACCAAAACTGAACGCAAAATCTATAGGAACAGATGAAATGCCACTGAAATCAGCATTGATAGGATCTGGCACGGACTGTCATGTATAGGAATTTTAGCTTAATTTTACTTCAGTTTTCTTTCAAGGTGAAAAAAATTTTGCCTAAGTCAGGAATCTTCTGATGTTAAGAAAGGTCTTTATTGTTTTCATGCATTTGTTCACAAAACTATACATATTATAGCTCTCCATGCATAACAAGTGAAAAGGAAATTTAATGGTATATTTCCCTTTTTATGGACTAGTATCCCTGCTCTAATCTGTGGCAGGAAAATATTGTGCTCCATACACCAATCTATTCATCTCTAGACCACTAGTTTTATTACTATATATCAAGCTTTAATTCTCATCAACCCAGTATATAACTCAGTATATATCTGAACTGCAA